TTAGAAAATCTATTTGAAGAAATAATGACAGAAACCTTCCTTGTTATGGGGAATAAAAAAGTTACACAAGTACAGAGAGTCCAAAGCAAGATAAGTCCCAAAATGACTCACACCAAGACAAGTCATAATTACAATGGCAAATGTTAACAATAAAGAGAGAATCTTAAAGGCTGCAAGAGAGAGACAGAGAGTTACCTATGAAGGATACCTCACCAGATTATTAATGATTTCTCAACAGAAACACATCAAGCTAGAAGGGAATTGAAGTAGGTAGACAAAGTGATGCAAAGCAAAGGACTGAATTCAAGAATACTCTATCCAACAAGACTATAATCAAAATTGAAGGGAAAATCAGGAGCTTTGCAGACAAAAAAAAAAAAAAAAAATTGGCTAAGGAAGTTTATCACTACCAAGCCAGCAGTGCAAGAAATGCTTAAGGAAGTGCTGTAAAAAGAAGAAATAGAAAGAGAGGAAAGAACATGGGCATAAAGTGCAGAAATGGCTACAAAAAAGTATCTATCAATAATAACATTAAATGTAAATGGATTAAATGCTCCAATAAAAAGAAATTGAGTGACTAAATGGATAAGAAAACATGACCCATATATATGCTGTTTTCAGGAGACCCACCTCAGAACAAGGGACTCACACAGACTGAAAGTGAAGGGATGAAAAAATATCTATGAAGCAAATGGAAATGAAAAAAAAAATCTGGGGTAGCAATATTTATATCTGACAAAATATACCTCAAAGTGAAGACCATAACAAGAAACAAGGAAGGCCACTTCATAATTCTAAAGTGATTGATACAACAAGAGGCTATAATTCAGTAAATATTTATGCACCCAATGCAGAGTACCCAAATACATTAAAAATTTTTTTCTGGAAAATATCAGGGGAGAGATTGAGAGCAACACAATCATAGTAGGAGACTTTAATAACCCATTACCATCACTGCATAAATCCTCTAGGAAAAAAATTAGCAAAGAAACATCAATCCTAAATGACTCACTAGATCAGATGGACTTAATCAACATCTTTAGAACATTCTACCCCAAAATTACAGAATATAAATTATTCTCAAGTGCACATGGGACATTTTCAAAGATAGACCACATATTGGGACACAGACAAAGTCTCTCCAAATTCAAGAGGATTGAAATCATATCAAGCATCTTCTCAATCACAGTGGCATAAAATTAGAAATCAACTACAATAAAAACAATCACAAAAATTCAAACACTTGGAGGCCAATAGCATACTATTAAACAGTAAGTGTGTTACTAAAGAGATCAAAGAAGAAATAATAAACATCTGGAAACAAACAATGAAAATACAACAATCCAAATCTTTGGGACACAGTGAAAAAAATCCTGAGAGGGAAGCTTACATCATTACAGGCTTTCCTCAAAAAAAGAAAAAGAAAAAAGAAAAACTGATAATAAAATCATCTAACTCTGAAACTTGAAGAGTTAGAAAGAAAACAACAAGAAAAGCCCAATGTGAGCAGAAGGAAGAAAATAATAAAGATCAGAGAAGAAATAAATGACATAGAGACACACACAAAAAAAATCAATGAAACCAAGAGTTGGTTTTTTGAAAGGATAAACAAGATTATTGAACCTCTAGTCAAGCTCACCAAGAAGAAAAGAGAGAGGACCCAAATAAACAAAATCATAAACAAAAGAGATAAAATAACAACAGACCTCACAGAAATACAAAGAATCGTAAAGAAAATACTATGAGCAACTCTACTCCAACAAACTGGTCAACTTAGAAGAAATGGATATATTCCTAAAAAATGGGGAGACCAAGGGGAGATCAATGGGGAAGGTGACATACGTACTACTTACTATTTATAATACCTTAAATAATAAAATAATAAAATAAAAATATTAACTAAATCAGCAGAATGAGGGAGGATCAGGAAGTATCATGTTTCAATGTTCAATAAGGTGGTAAGAGTTGGCTTTTATGAGAGGATGGTATTTCAGCAAAAAACTGAAAGATATTTCAGCAAAAAACTGAAAGAAAGATATGAGAGAGTGAGTCATGCCTGAGCAGAGTTCTGGACAGAGAGAAAGGATAGTGTATAGACCCTAAGGCAGAACATTCCTAGTGTCTTTGAGGAACACCAAGATATTCAATGTGACTAGAGCTGAGAAAGTGGGAAGAATAGATGAATTCAAGGAAGAAGGAGGCTTGGTATCCAGCCAAGGAGGGCCTTGTAGATCATCTTCCATGAGGCTTTTGACCTTTAAGTGAAATAAAGAACCATTACAGGGTGAAGCCACACCCCTTTATCATCCTGGGTGCACTGAGTCCCAAAACCCAGCTGGCCACTCACAACCAGGCCACCATCACCTATCAGGCATCACAAGCCATTGGTCCTCAATTCTGTTGAGGACTGTTGATGGATTATCATTTTGAGTGCCTTTCAAAACATCTAAACTATGGGTGCCTCCAGCATTTAGACTACTGTCCAGAAAATATTCCAGTGACTTGTCGGTGAAAGCAAACCATTTGTTCTATGAATGTGTTTCCATTGTTTCAATTCAATCCTCCTTTGAGCCCCTTGTGGCCTGGCTATTGGAAATAGTAATACCTTTTCAAGTACATCTAAAATTTCTTGCTCTATCCATCATAACCTACACCTTCACCACACACGTCTTCACTGACTGTCTCCTGACTTGTGTTTTCAGCCTCTTCATCCGAGTTTCTGAGATGCCCTTGCCCAGAGCAACTTCTCCCCAGATAATGTCAAGTCCCTCTTAGAAGCAGCTCCTGGCCTGAGCTACAGAATCCCATCCATGTCTGATTGAAAACCTTTTTATGATTATCTTGTGTGAGCATCTTTTAAAATCCCTTCCGAAAGCTTCCTCTGATCAGTTTTTTAGAAGGAAGAACTAGCAATGTAATTATTGCATCTTGTTTTAATTGTGGTAGGGGGTATGGTTCGAAGGCCCTTTTCATTTCCTTCATCTGAGGGGCATTTGAAAAGGCTGTATTTTTACCAGATCCGCTAGGCTCTTCAGAAAATGCCTTAATCCCAGTTTAGCCCCAGGATCAGTGATTTTGAGTTTGTGCCACGTGACCACTCAAGCAGACAGAATATGACAAAGATATTCTCCTTGAGTCTGGGAGGGAGGGCCCACTGGTAACATGGAGATTTGGTGAAGGATCCAAAGCCTATATTTGGACACGTTGCTTCAGTTTTTCACTAATAATATTTCTAGGAATTAGATCTGTTCCAAACCACATGTGCACACTGTTTTTCTCGGTTTGTCATTCCTATGCTCTGGCAAATTTCTGGGTCTGATTCCAAGATGTTGCAATTTCCCCATGGGTACCATAAAAATGGTATAGTGTGCCTGGTTAATTTTCCGATGCCATGATCAAAGAAACTAAGGAACTTTATCTGATTGCTTTTTTCACATTGTATAATGTTTTCCTTTGTGCAAGTTTATATTAGGCATCTATATCAAGCATTGTACAGATTTCCTATTAAAGTAGAGGTCCAGCTCTCTAAAAACTATTCATTTATGAGGAAGGACATGCATACATTCTCCCATCAAAGACACTGCTGATGCTAAAGGCCATGTAGCCTAGGAAATCAGGTGTCCCCAGCCTACACCACCCACCCTTCAGCCCATATGCCAAATGTCATGATAACAAATGATCCATCATTCTCAGCTGCCAGGCTTAGGGAGGGCAAAACCAAGTTCTATCTGATCGTAGCTGCAGACCTATGGCCTGCTCCACTCTGAGTGTGTGGCACTAGGCAAGAAAACTTTGATTTCACTCTCAGCTCTTCAGTTGTCTCTTTAATTGTGCTGACAGCTTAAATGGGACACCACGGCATCATATCCTGCAGATTTTAAATTAAAGTTTGAGACACGCACCCCTCCCCCACCCCAAACATGCAGAGTACTCAAATTAATGTGATTATTTAGTGCAAAATGTGGTTTTCCTGAAAAAAAAAAACCACTTTCTTTCTCCTGCTTTACAAAGCCCAGAAATTCTGAGAAAACAACCAGGGATGCATGCAAGATTCTATATAAGGATCCTAGTATGGTGTTTACATTGGCAGAAACCTGGAAACAAATGTCTATAATGGGGAATTCTGTACATAAAGGGTAATAGACACAAATCCAACAATTTGTTTAATGTTATAAATAATTTTTCACATGGGAAGATGCTTGTGATAAATTAAGTGAAAAAAGTTGAAGAAATGCAGGAATGATATGATATACTTTTCTCTATGACTTAAAAAAAAAAGACTGAAAGGATATTGATATCAAAATGTAAATAATTATCTTTGGGTGGTGAAAATAAGGTTCATAATATTATTCATTTGCATCTTTAATTTTCAAAATAATGCATTACTTTAATAAAATGAAATCATTATTTAGCAAAGTTTATCATTGATCCCTGCAGAAAATATGCAACAAAGGGATTTATTTTGAAATTTTTATTTTTTATATATTTTTTTAATTTTTAAAACAAATTTTCCCTTCCCTTTTGGAGAGTAGATTATTTTATTTTTATGTTAATCCTCACCAGAGGATATTTTTCCATTGATTTTCAGAGAGTGGAAGAAAGGGGGAGAGACTGAAAGAAACATCAATGCAAGAGAGACACATCATTTGGTTGCCTCCCACATATTCCCCGACCCAAGGTACATTCCTTGACCAGAATCAAACATGGGACCCTTCAGTCCTTGGGTCAAGGCTCTATCTACTGAGCCAAGCAGGCTAGGGCAATTTTGAAATTTTGAAATCAATCCTTCATCTCCACCATCCCTGTGTGGTACACTGAGAATTCTCTATTAATAATGAGTGGATAGTTTCTAATGAAATTGTGAGGATGAACAATGTGTTTTTATAATCATGGAAAGTTGAGCACTGAAGTGGCATATTGCAAATGCCCATTCTCATGTTCCATTACACCCAAAGCCCCACCTGAGAGGGTGCCTTTATGTCTGTGTGTTTTTCTTGCAGAGCCAAAGATGTTTGTCTTGCTCTATGTTACAAGTTTTGCCATTTGTGTAAGTGGACAACCTCGAGGTAATCAGTTCAAAGGAGAGAGCTACTCCCCAAGATATATCTGTAGCATACCTGGCTTACCTGGACCTCCAGGTCCTCCGGGAGCAAGTGGCTCCCCTGGACCCCACGGTCGGATCGGCCTCCCAGGACGAGATGGGAGAGACGGCAGGAAAGGAGAGAAAGGCGAAAAGGGGACTGCAGGTAATGCATGATGAGGCTCTGAAAAGCCCCCCTCCTTACCCTCCCTGAAAACTACTCCCTTTCTTTGTTGCTTTCTCTAAATCCCTCCTCTACTTCACCTTCATCGTTCATAACAATTTATTGCCTGTTGACTATGCTTCAGACACTGCTCTTGACTCTATGTGCATTCTTGTTTTATTGTAATAATGACTCTTTCAGGGGGAAGTCATCATAGTTTATAGGTGAGAATGCTGAGCAATGCCACAATCAAATGAATTACTTGCAAGGGAAGAACAGTGCTGAATCCCAACATCAGGTGCCTATGACCAGGGGCTGGTACATCTAGCAGGCAAGGCCTGCATGCAAGAGGGTGTAATGGATGGACAGACAGATGGACAGGAGGGGAGGTGAAGCAGAGGCAGAATTAGGAGCAAAAAGCCTGCTGCTTCCTGCTCTGCACTAATATCCTGAACATAAAGAGGTTCCAGAGGTTTTTCTCCAAAGATGAAATGACAATAGTAACATGTAGCCTGCATTTCCTGATTCATCACTCTGCCACCTGTCCTGTAAAAGTGAGAAAAAGTAGGTTTCTTACAGCTCTTTACAGCAACACAATATCCCCTAGTCTTTCAGTAATTTTCACTTTTCCCCCCACAAATAAGTTGTCCCAGGAAGCTTGCCAGATTTGTCAGCCCTTCAGAGTAAAATGGATTAAAATTCTAGAGAGACCGTGTTTACCAAAAGAGAGGAAGTGGTTTGGAATCGATCTTTGAAAACACATTTCTGAGTGCAAAAGTTGAGACAAAAGATGGGCACAAAATGTCAGTAGATCTAAGAAGTGTGTCTCTCTCTAGTCACTGCATCTCATTTAGTGCTGTTATATGAAACAGTATAATATATATGCAAATTATTGGCTAATTATTCATTTCCAAATTTGTCATGCAGGAAATATTTGGCAAATCAGTAGCTACCAAATGCATAAATATTGTCCAATATTTGGTAAAGAATCTTTAGGTGAAAGTGCAACATAAGATAAAGAACCGTTAATTAGGAGCCTCAATCTTATATTTTAAACCTTTTCATACAACAGCATGATACAACTCACTAGGGTCATGATCATGAATGTCCTTAGTAACACAAAGATCATAGTTATTAACAACATTTTTAGTTTGCTATGCCTGGAAGCAGTAATGTAGTGATTACACAAAAATCCATTGGAATCAGAAAGACTTAGGCTGAAATCTTGGCTCCTCCCGTTACTGTTTAGTATCTTTGGGCAAATAGCCTCTTTAAGCCTCAGTGTTCTAATTTGTAAATAGGGGGTAGTAAAGGTGATTGTTAAGATTAAGGACAATAATACCTGCAAAACATGCAATAGAGTAAGTGCCAGGTGGTAAGCACATAGGAAATGTTAGCTGCTATTACATGTGACATTGTGGTCTGCAAATATGAGTCATAGCTAAGTTCCTGAATATCCAAAGCTACATAATTAACTAGAAATGAATGATCTGTCTTACAAGCTAGTTCTAGTGTTATTTAAAGATGTTTATGGATATGCATTCAGATTAAATCAAATGCTCGTGATTGCTCTAATTTTAACCATGCATGCAGCCAGCTACACCCCCATATTCATCAATCCATTTGTTCATCCAGCCACTCATGCATTATTCACTCTACAAGCTTTATGCAGACCTATTGCCTCCTAGAATTGTTCTAGACCAGAGTTTCATAACCTCCACCCTCATGACATTTGGGGCTGAATAATTATTTACTGTAGATAACTATCCTGTGCATTGTACGACTTTCAGCAGGTTCCCAATACATACTAGGGTTATCCCTACAATTGTGATAACCAAAAATGTCTCCAGACATTCCCAACGCTCCTTTGGTGGGTGATGCAAAATTGCTCCTCATTGAAAACATAGTTCCAGACACAGAGAACACAAACCTGTATAAATGTTGTCCTTGACTCAATAAGTTAGCATTTGGGTTTGGGAGTCTAATATGGAAAAACACAATCACAATACCGGGTGGAGCAAAAGTAGGTTTACAGTTGTTTGTATAGAAAATAATGCAATAATTAAAATATAATAACACAAGAATAAATTATGTTTTGCATACTCACAACTGTAAACCTACTTTTACCCCAACCTGTATGTCATTGTTATCATCATCATCATCATAACTATTTACTAAGAATTTACTCTACCTATGTATAAGAAATTTTACTTTTAATACTTACTGTCCACCATAACCCTATTAGCAATTATTGTAATCAGCAATACCAATAATGTTACAAATGGGGGAAATGGAGATTTAAAAATAAAATGACTTTCCCAACCTGAGATTATTTAAATCCAGTATCCACGTGTCCACACATAAGGATATATGACAGCTAAGACAGGAAACGTAAGAACACCTTTGTGGTCAATAAAGAGGAGCACACCTCACGGACAAACAGCAGGAACAGAACCCTGGGGCTTTGGGGACATGTTTTCAATGTGGCTGAACAGGACACAGCACAGCTGGAAGCTTCTGTTCCCTCTTCCCACTTAGTGACACCACGAAGGCCTTCTCATTCATGTGCCCTTGGTGATCATCCCCACAACATTTACCCCAACCAAGTGCATGCAGAATAGAGCATAGTTTTGGTCCAATTTCCCCATCCTAAATTACAAGCACAGAGCTCATTATACTGAATTATACACTTTTCTGCTGAAATATTTGTCTCCTTCACTGGTCAATAGCAATTACTGTTGTCTCAGATTATTAACATTTAATTTCATCTGAACACACATCCACATAAATATTTTTAAATAACATAGACACCCCCTATGAAATAGATAATTCTGATTTATTATTGTATATGGCTTTGGATATTCATGATTTTAGCTAAGACCCATACTGCAGATCACAATATAATATGTAATAACAGCTACCTTGAAGGTGGAGCAGGTGTCATTAATGTCAAGGTCTCACTTAGTCCCTAGTACAGTGCCTGGCATGTAATGATGGTCAATCATCATTAGATGATTCAGTTGGATGCATGCATGCATATTTCTATGGATGTGTGTGGAGGTGGATGGATGGATGGATGGATGGATGGATGGATGGATGGATGGATGAAAGAAATGGCACTGAAAAAAATACTTGCAAGCCCATATCATGGAGAATTGAAAAGAAATCCTTTCTAAGTTTTAATACTTAAGCATAGATAATAATTTCTCTTCTCTATACAGTCATATATCTTCCTGAATAGAGAGAATGATCTATCCCTTCTCTCTATTCTTCATTCATTGGTTCTTAGCCCAGGGGCAAATCTATAATGTGATTATCTAACTCCCAGCTGTTGAGAATAGTAAACAACTACAGAAAATCCAAACATTGAAATTATGACAACCTTTTCATTGTAAAATTGTATCTTAGTATTATGGTTTGATCTCAAAGAATACTCAATAGGATGAGACCTCAAACAATCTAGTCCAACATCTTCATTTCAAGGTCTGGGAAACTAAAGTCAGAAAGATGAAGCCCCTTTGTCAAATTCACCTAATTCCTGGCTGAACTAGGGTTTTATCCCTGCTCTGCTTGGTCACTGTTTACTGCTTTTCCCACCAGATTTCGAGTGGATTTGGATCTAATTTCTTCATAGTACAAATGGAGCATTTGGAACTCAGACAAGAATTGACTTGCTCAAAGTCAAAAGAGGAAGAAGGATTTGAGTACATAATGAAAGTTAATGGTCAAATTGTTACTGATGCCAAAATGTGTGTGTTTTTTAATTAATGCACCAAAAGTCACTGATGAAGACAATAAAGTTGAGCTTATATTAAACATAAAATAACAAATTAGAAATTGTTGTCTTTGATTCCAAAGTTAATTTATTAACAAAATAATATTTATATTATACGTCTATCAAAAATAAGTAATCATTGAGAGGTCAAACTATTATAGCCTTATTTAAGAAACAAATACCAGATTGTGTTCTGGCTGGAGTCAGTGGAATTTCAATTTAAAAACAAATGTCACCCTAGCCAGTGTGGCTCAGTTGGAGTAGCATCCATACTGAGAGGTCACAGGTTTGATTCCTGGTCTGGCCACATGCCCAGGTTTCAGGTTTGATCCTCAGATGGGGTGCAAACGGGGACAACAAATGGATGTTTTCTCTCTCTCTCTCTCTCTCTCTCTTTCTTTCTATGTCCATTTCCCACTCCCTCTCCCTCTCCTTCTCCCTCTCCTTCTCACTTCCTCTCTAAAGTTAATAAAATCAAAATATCCTAGGGTAAGAATTTAAAAAGAAAGAAAAGAAAAGAAAGAACCAAATGTCATCAACAGCTAGAAAACACTTCTATGATCAGTAATAATGCTGGTCTGTCACACACACACACACACACACACACACACACACACACACATAAAGTGCATTCATTATTAGCATCTTTTGAACACCACAAATTGTCAAACAGAATCTTTACAAAATTATAGAAACAAAATATTTGGTGTTTTGAGAGTAAAGCTTTAATTCTTTTCAAGTTTACATTATCCAGAACACTTTATTGCTAAATTTGCCAAATAACTGAAAAATGATCAAACTCATACACCAATGCATATGTAATATATTGAAATACATGATATAAAGCACTATTGAGATAAAAAGGGCTCAGCTTAATAGAAGTTCCTGAGAATAAATGACACAATATATCAACAATATATTTTCCCTGACTACAAAGTACATTACAAATATCCAAATAATTTGGATATTTTTGAGAATGTATCGTTACACAGGCACCTTTTATGGAATAGATTTGGCCATAAAATTGAATGACCTTTTTTATGCCATTAAGTAACTGCTATTACACATATTATTTCAAAATTAATTAGATGTTGGTTATCATTTTCAAGCCATGATCACTATTTCTCTGCATTTAGCCAATGGTTGATCTGTAGACCAAAAACATGGGGCGGAGAGAATATTTCTCTATGGTGATTTTCAATTTGTTGAAATCTTTTCACAGTTGCTATATCTTTGCTATAGGTAAGGAGACCCAGAAAAATTAAGGGACTTGCCTAAAATGATATAGCCCTTAGCTGTAGAGCCAAACAGAACTTAGAATTCTTGATTCCAGCCCCAAAGGGAAAGCATCAGTAGACTGTAACTTGGATTCCAGTCCTGGCCTTGTTTTATCTCTCTTGTGTTCAGTTTTCTCCTCCATAAAGGACTTACTTCTCAGTGTGGCAGTCACTGTTGTTGGGTTATTGTACCATAATGTGCCAGGAGCCCTTTACAATTCATACTCTAGCCACGGAGCCCTTTACAATTCATACTCTAGCCACGGAAATGCTCAGGCTCCTAAGTCAGGCAGGCATGAGTTCAGGTCATAGCTCCATCATTCACTATCTCTATCTCCTTGAGCAAATAAACTTTTCCATGGCTTGATTTCTTCATCTACGATGGAAGTAATAATAATAATGCCCAGGTCATAAAACTGTTGCAAACCTTGAAGAAGATAGATAATACATGTAAATAAAATGCTGTTCCTGATATATAGCAAACGTTCAATAAATGAGAGCTAACCTCATTTGATTAATTCTTTTTCACTTATTTATTTTATTTGGGGTTATTTTTTTTCTTTTTTTTTTCCTTTTCTTCCTGATTAAATCTTTTATTATTAATACTAATAGTAGGATGGGGCATGAGACAGAACTGCCTCTAGTTCTGTATGACTTCACTCTGGAAAATAATATCAACATCATTCTCCTTAAATCCCTTCTTAGTAATAAGTATGTGTAATATAATTAACTTAGAGACAGGGGATCTATCATCAGAATGGTAGTTAAATTTTCTTAGTTATTCAGAATGAAATGATTTCTTACATAGAAAAATTTACTTGAAATTCTGATGAAATTTTTCTATTTCCATTGTAGTGATTTTAAAAAAATAATTCATTGTTTAGTAGTACACAGTTGTCTTAAAAAAAAAAAAAAACGTAGGGTATGCTGGGACTGTGTGGGCATGCTTTTTGTCACCCTGTATTTAGAGGAACCATTCATTAAAGCTTAATCTCTTTTTAAAGGTTTGAGAGGTAAGACTGGACCACTGGGCCTTGCTGGAGAGAAAGGGGACCAAGGAGAAACGGGGAAGAAAGGACCCATGGGACCGGAGGGAGAGAAAGGAGAAGTCGGTCCGGCTGGGCCTGCTGGGCCAAAGGGAGACAGAGGAGAGCAAGGGGACCCAGGGCTACCTGGAGTGTGTAGATGTGGAAGCATCGTGCTCAAATCTGCCTTTTCCGTTGGCATCACCACCAGCTACCCAGAAGAGAGGCTGCCGATCGTATTTAACAAGGTCCTCTTCAATGAGGGAGAGCACTACAACCCTGCCACGGGGAAGTTCATCTGTGCTTTCCCAGGGATCTACTACTTTTCTTACGATATCACATTGGCAAATAAGCATCTGGCCATCGGGCTGGTGCACAATGGGCAGTACCGGATAAAGACCTTCGACGCCAACACAGGGAACCATGACGTGGCTTCAGGGTCCACGGTCATCTATCTGCAGCCGGAGGATGAAGTCTGGCTGGAGATCTTCTTCAATGACCAGAACGGCCTCTTCTCAGACCCAGGTTGGGCGGACAGCTTGTTTTCCGGATTTCTCCTGTACGTTGACACAGATTATCTAGATTCCATATCAGAAGACGACGAGCTGTGACCAGGACTGCTGACCAGCATGTTCCAGAATCCTTGTGGGAGACACTTCAATTTCATTGAGGGGCCCTGGAAGGTGGGACACACAGCAATGCGAGCCAAAGACTCCTGCTTCGATTCCTGAGTATTTACAGACAGCTCTAACGACATTTATTATTAAAACAAGATGATCCACCAAACTATTGAAACCACACCAAGATGAATGATATAAAACAATAACCCCAGAGATATGAATTCTCTTGAAAGCAGTGTTCATAAATATTTAAACAAATCCAAGACAATGTTAACAATTTTTTTTTATTAAATTCCCTGAGTGATCAAACCAGACAGCAATGATAATGTCTCATTAAATCTTTATAAAACCACATTTTGGCCTGTTATTTAAAAGGATCATAACATCCCAGACAAAGTCTTTGATAATTCTCCAAATGCTATAGTTAGAAACCAAAGGTAAGTGATGCTGAGGAATGTCAAGCAATTTAAAGTGAAGTCATAATTTTCTTTTTTATTATTTCTCCCTTCGTGCTTGTATGTGAAACACAAAGTTTATTCTTGTATTATTATGTATTTATTAAGTATTATATTCGAAAGCAGATACAACTGTAAATCTACTTTTGCTCCACCCTGTATATTTGCTCAACAACCTTTTATTTTTATCTTTATTGTTGAGAGTATTACAGATGTTACCCTCTTACCCTCCCAATATCTCCCTCCACCCAGTTCTCACCCCATCCCAGACCTTCACTACCCTATTGTCTGTGTCCATAGATAATGCATATCTATCTATTTAAAGGCTAATTTGCTAAGTGTCCTTCCCTCCATCCAAGTAATGACATCATGTAGCAATGCCCAGCTCTTCTCCCAGGGACAAATGCTTCTTGCAGTTTCTTCAGCCCAGAAACACTTTAGCCAGGTGGAAACACTTTTCCCTGTAACCAAATGTCTGTGAAGCATTTTCCCTGCCTCATCTCATTTCATCCTCACAGAAATCCTGGAGTAGGTAGATAGAAGACTCGTTGGAATCCTATTTTCTTTTCATTAGCCAGAAAAATGGAGATTTATAAAGTTTAGAGACTTGAACCAACTGAAAAGAAGTAAAAAATGTTGGACCTTGAAAATGACTTCAGGTTTTCTCACAGCGCAGAATACTAGTATAGTCAAACACTTCTGCAGTTACTGGTTAATATTTTACCCTTTGTTCTCCCTGCGTGGTCTACAATAATAATCTGATTTGATAGATATTTACTGCTGTGTTGCTAAAAATTACCTGAGAAAGAAGTTGAAGTGCTTCACTGGGCTGGGAAAAGTTTAGCTACATCAGAAAGCAGGTCTCATGAAGCAAGTTGGTTCTATATCTATAAAAGGCTAAATTGACTCAAGCATGCACGATACATATAAACCTCTCAATGGTGCCAATCACACACATGTGTTTTCATCTATCATCATTGATTGTGAATTTGGTTGACACTTCTTTTATAAAGAAAGGGCAAATTGCAATGTTAAAATGTTTCTTCTAATTAATTTTTTTTCAATGTGCATGAATTCATGCACCGGGCCACTAGTATGAATAAAAGAACTTTGGTTAATCTCTTCCCACGCCCCCTAACCCCTTCCCTCTGAGATTCATCAGTCTATTCCATGTTTCCATGTGTCTAATTCTATTTTATTCATCACTTTATTTTGTTCATTAGAATTATTTTGTTTGTTCATTTTGATTTTTAGATTCAATTATTGATAGATATGTATTTATTGCCATTTTATTGTTCATAATTTTTAGCTTTCTTCTTTTTCTTCTTCCTCTTCTTCAACAATTCTTTAACTAAGCCTATATAAACCAAACACTATGATGCTGGGTCAGATGTAATAATAAGTTCAGACAAAGTCCCTACCTTCATACAAGCTGGTGTGTGATGAATATACTGTCACAATTCAGGGTGAAAAGCACCAAGGCAAACAGGCTGGCTCATTGGGAACCAGAAAACATGGAGAAACATTATGCATGCTAAGGTGTATGTATTTAAGTAGATGGGAGGTATGCAAAGAAAACAAGGAATTCAATGTGACATTCTTCCCAGTCCATCCTCAAAACACCATTGGTATTTGCAATCAGGGAAGGGTGAAAAATCTGGAGAGAAGGCCTGGGAGGGATACTGGCAAAAAAAAAAAAAGCAAGTTACTGAGACCAGCCAGTAGGTCATTCTTCTAAATCTGTTAGCTTGATAGTTTCCCAAAACAAATATTTGTCTTCTTAGCTTTCACAAATAGGGAAGCTACTTTATACTGTGGTGATAACATTGTATCTCATGTATTTTCTAGGTTCTGAATTCAGATAAAGCAAAGCACATGTCCACTTATTTATGAGTTAGTTGATGGGAGGAGGGAACAAGAAGAACAGGGAGAGAGACCAGACATCTGAGCAAACAGCTTCCCTTCCAAGTCTCACACCTCCCTAGTCCACACCCTCTTAGTGTCAACCCCTTGTTCTCCACTGAGCTGAAATCCCTCAGCTAATTTCACCCATAATTCTGTCATCTGCCACTCTCTCAGCTAGTAGTAATAGCCCTTCCTTATTCTCCTCTCCCTTTTGGTATTTTCTAATACTCTTTCCATGCATTCCTGTCTCTAATTATTATTTAATAAAAATGTTAATGTTTCCTATGTGTGACTCACCATGGTAGGCTCTTTGAAGATGAAAGAACATAAAGGTGAATGTGGCACATTTCCAAGAAAGAAAATGGCATACGTGTGTGTGTGTGTGTGTGTGTGTGTGTGTGTATGTGTGTGTGAATATCTGAAATTCTAAAAACAAACATGCTAAAATATCTGAAATTCTAAAAACAAACATGCTAAAATATGCTAAGTGCTAAACTGGAGATAGAGACAAAATGCTGCTGAAGGAATTGACTCAGGGGAAAATGTTTACTTCCAAATTCAGAGATGAGAGAGGAGAGTTAGGGAAATCTCTGTTCCCTGAGCCTGAAAGGACTTGCAGTGGCCAAATTGAGGGAAAGGGCACTTTAGACAGAGGTAATAATGGGACAAATCATAAAAGTGAGAATCCATGGGCCATATTTGCAAGATGGCCAACCTGTGGGTGGGAGACTTTATTCATGAGAAGATGTGGAGCCCCTGTGTGTTCCCAAGCTGGGTGCTGTCATTACCCAAGGGGAAATTCCAATTACCAGGCAGCTTTGTGTGAGGGCAATGGTCCCATCTTCCAGATCTATCTTGTTTTCATCATCTTCTGGCTCCTATCCTATGTTCCCTGGATCTTCTCTTCATGAGTCAAGACATGGGTCAAGACAAGGTCCAAAACCCTTAGACAAAGTAGACTGAACAAAGGTGATCTGAGATAGTCATCCGTCTCTAGATAATACCTGAACCTGGAATTCCAGGCTAGAAAATGTTAAACAAAACAGTCAACAGAAGAAACTAATCTGTGGAACATGAACGCATGGGCCCTTTATTTATTTATTTTTTAATATGTATTTTATTGATTTTTTTACAGAGAGGAAGAGAGAGGAATAGATAGTTAGAAACATTGATCAGCTTCCTCCTGCACACCCCTACTGGGGATGTGCCCGCAACCAAGGTACATGCCCTCGACCAGAATCAAACCTGGAACTTTTCAGTCCGCAGGCTGACGCTCTATCCACTGAGCCAAACCTGTTTCGGCACATGGGCCCTTTAAACACTATGGAATTTGCTGGAGAAACTGGAAATGGAGAAGTTATTGTTGATTGTCATGATCCACATGATTATTATGTAATTTAAATATTTTCAGCATGATCCATTAATGCATTCATTTTTTTGGACATTGTTTACTTGCTTATCTTTTAAATGTTTCTTTCATTATAAAGCCTATTTTGAGTAACTTTTTAAACTAAAAATTCTTTAGCTGGTTCTAGGCCCAGAAATCAATTTTATTTTGAAATACCTAGTAGGATGGTGATGAGGATCAGAGAGCCACCATGGATAATGAAAGATTATTTTAGTGTTGAAGTGATAAACTTTTAAGCAAATGCAGGTGTCTTTTACTCCTTAAGAAAAGACAAATGTAATGTATCCACATTTATAGATATTTGTGGAAAGGAAGTACAAGAACAATTTTGGTTTAAAATATTCCAAGCCTCATTCCAATAACTCTTTGTAAGGGCTGACTTGGGATGAATATGCATTAAGAATTACTTATTTACTAGATACCATCTCATTCCAGAATAATCTAAAGCCATTTACAAAGATAGACCAAAGATAGAACACGTAGTCAGAACAAGTGAGAATAAAAGAGCAAAACAAACAAACCAAAAAAAGGAAGGAGTGAGGCTAATACAAACTTGTATGTACAAGAACGTGTATTTTTTACATGCCAAGGACATATCTAGATCATTTATCATGATGAATAACGTTGTTTGTGGTGGGAAAAAAATCCATAGGCGCCGAATATACTTTTTCTCTGCCATTCTGTGAATGCTATTCTAGCCATAAATTCATTTTTAGATGTCAGCTATTAGTTGTTTTATACCTTCCTCTCTCTCAGCTTCTGTAGCTCCACTTTCCATAAAGGGTGCCCCTATCCATATTGGCCCCCAAGCCAAAACCAAAGGCACATTCTGGAAGTCTTCCTCTCTTTCCCCACTGAATTCATTCAGCATAAAATTCGTATGGTTCTAGACCCTACCTATATATTTCTGAATCATTGCATCCTTCCATTCCTAGTCCTGAGGTTTCACTCATACTCATCATCACTTTCCTGGAGTAATAAAATCCTTTAGCCACAGCCCTCCGATCCACATCCCACATTAGGCTGGTTCTCTCCTTAAATACTAATCTGGTCTTGTCACTCCACATCTTAAAAGCCCTCCAATCCCTACACTACAAAAGGTGTATTGAAATTCTCTGGGTTTTTCTCACTAGCATTCATTTCATATCTTTCTTCTGGTGTTCATACCCAACTCCCTTCTGAGGGTCCGCCCTCCTTTACATGCTGGGTCTTTGAATTTCTAA